TTTCTGATTTTTGAGAAACCCTCACATCCCCCCCAAAAAAGTAGCAGCAAAACTTGGGGTGGGATTGACTGGGTCCAGTTATCTGGTCCCTGTTTGTTATAATTTGCTGGTCAGTGCCGTATTGAGGAATGGGAGATAGGCAGACATACTAGCACTATTTCTAGAGCAGTGGTTCCCAAACTTTTCGGCATCACGCCCCCTTTCTGATTTTTGAGAAACCCTCACATCCCCCCCAAAAAAGTAGCAGCAAAACTTGGGGTGGGATTGACTGGGTCTGGGTTTCCCCTTCCCCCCCCCCCAGAATTTCTTCATGCCCCCCAGTTTGGGAACCCATGTTCTAGAATCTGCAACCTGCCTACCTGCACTTTTCCCTTCAGCTGGTGGATATGAAATTGCATCATAGACTTCTAGGGTTGGAAGAGGCCTCAGGAGGTCACCATATCCAACCCCCTGCCCAAGGCAGGACCAATCCTAACTAAATCATCACAGCCAGGGTTTTGTCAAGCTGGGACTTAAAAACCTTTAGGGATGGAGATTCTTCGACCTTCTTAGATAACCCATTCCAGTGCTTAACCACCCTCTTAGTAAAATAGTTTTTCCTAATATCCAACCTAGACCTCCTCCCACTGCAACTTGAGACCTTTGCTCCTCATTCTGTCATCTGTCACCACTGAGAACAGCCTCTCTCCATCTTCTTTGGAAGCCCCCTTCAGGAAGTTAAAGGCTGCTATCAAATCCCCCCTCACTCTTCTCTTCTGTAGACTAAATAAACCCAAATCCCTCAGCCTCTCCTCATAAGCCATGTGCCCCACCCCCTAATCATTTTTGTTGCCCTCTGCTGGACTTTCTCCAATGTGTCCACATCCTTTCTGTAATGGAGGGCCCAGAATTGGATGCAATATTCCAGATGTGGCCTCAGCAGTGTCAAATAAAGGGGCATAATCACTTCTCTAGATCTGCTGGCAATGCTCCTCCCTAATATGCCGTTAGCCTTCTTGGCTACAAGGGCACACTGTTGACTCATACCCAGCTTCTCTTCCTCTGTAAACCTCAGGTCTTTTTCTGCCAAACTGCTGCCTAGTCAGTCAGTCCCCAGAATGTAACAGTGCCTGGGATTTTTCCATCTCAAGTGCAGGACTCTGAACTTGTCGTTGTTGAACCTCACCAGATTTCTTTTGGCCCAATCCTCCAATGTGTCTAGGTAACTCTGGATGCTATCCCTATCCTCCAATATAACTACCTCTTCCCTTATCTTACTGTCATCTGTGAACTTGATGAGGGTGCACTCCATCCTCTCATCCAGGTCATTAATAAAGATATTGAACAAAACCGGACCCAAAACCAACCTCTGGGCACTCCACTTGACACCAACCACCAACCAGACATCAAGCCATTGATCACTACATGGGTTGATCTTCCCACAGGTATTGGTTGTATTTTGGGGATATTTTCTTACTAAGAAAGCGGTAAAAAGGACACTTTTAGTGGTAGCCATTTTGAGCGGAACATCATTTATATGCTACACCATCCCATTAAGTTACTTTGATACTAAATTACCAGCAGCCCTTGGTCACTACAAATAACACATCTTTTTCCATATTCTTCAACCTGTAACATAATTTGTTATTACTAGATTTTGGTTGAGATGTTAAATGCACAAAATTAAGGGCATATGCAATTATGGTTGTTACAGCTTTAATTAGGTCACGTTAATCTAGATATTATATATGTATGACCTTTTCCCTTGAAGTGTATGTGCTATACACACATTTCAGTTTATTCAGGCCAGGGATGATGATTACCTCATCAACTACATCCTCAAATTACCATACTACTACTAATTAATGTTATGCCTTTTCTTAAATGCATACCACACATCACACAGCAAATAACTGAATGTTTCTGGGGCTATGTCTACACTGCAGAGCTTTTCTGGGATACCACATCCAAAGAACACAACCAAGAAACACACGTCCAAGGAATAAGTCTGCTTTTTCAGACCAATTTCTGAAAAACTGGACATGTTCTTTCACCATCCCTGTAATCCTCATTCTATGAGAAAGAAGGGATGTGTCGAAAGAGGTTTTTCTGAAATTTGGCCCCATGTAGATGGGTCAAATTCCGGAAAAGCCTCTTCTGAAAGAAAAGCAGAAAAAGATACGCAAATTGAGGTTTGCAATTTGCGTATCTTTTTCAACTTTTCTTTGCAGTCTAGACATAGCCTGGGTCATATATACAAGAATTTTTGAGGAAGCCTGGAAGATTTACAAAACAGAGAAGAAACTAATATATAGTAAACTAATCTGATCATGGAGATATCTTTGACACTAGGTGTGATCAGATGTTGACCGAATGTGTACACCCATGCACACATACATACACACACACACACACACATCGTTGCAGGGTATTTCTATAGTGCAATTATACATCAATGGCTGGCTCATGCCAACTGACTCCAACTCACAGAGTGCAAGCTAAGATGCTGTTTATTCTGTATAGATGTTTGTCTGTGGCTGCAGCCCTACCTCTGGGAGCCTTCCACCTCTCAGGGTCCTAGAGTCCAGGCAACAGCCCAATTCAAATATCTAAACCACAAACAGTCCCTTAGCCCAGGCATCATGAGCCTGAGCCAGTGGGTATTAATTGCAGTGTAGGAATAGGCGTAGTGGCTACATATAAATACCGAATAGATATATGGACAGAATTCAACCTGAGACCACTTGGGACTCTAGTTATAGTACCTTTATTTTTGTAGATGTTTCTGTTTAACACAGTACTGTATTTTCCCTATTTTTTCCCTTCTGCTGCTGACTGATTGCATACGGTTCCAAATGAGAAGTGCAGTTGACAGGTCAATTCATAATTCTGGTGTTTGTAACAGTCAGCTTTTACTGTGCCTCCCTATGACGGAACAATGGTATCTTTGGGCTGACCGTGTTAAATACTGTGGAGATGTCCAGAGAATGGATTTTTGTCCTCCATTAAATCATTAATTCCATCCATGTAGTGTCCAAACTATTTCCTGTTCTGAATCGAGATAGCAAAGGGGCCCAATGTTATATGTGGCTAGATGACCTTGGACAGCTTTTGGCTGGTCTCTCTGGGTACGTCTACACTGCAACGCTATTTTGAAATAACTAGCACTATTTCGAAATAACTTAGTCTGCGTCTACACAACAGGCAGTTATTTTGAAACAGTATCAAAATAGTCAAGCTGGAGGACTTCTTACTCTGACTCTTGTAATCCTCATTGTATGAGGAATAAGGGAAGTCGGAGGAAGAGTGCTCTATTTCGAAATAAGTGCTGTGTAGACGCTCCCTATTTTGAAATAAGCTACGCAACTGACGTAGCTCAATTTGAATTGCTTATTTCAAGCTAAGGCCTGCTGTGTAGATGCACCCTGTTTCTCCCACATTCTCACTAAGCCTCCCTTACCATCAATCATTATTTACTTTACATTCCTACTGCTAAAATACTTATCATGTTGGTAGCCTCCCAACAAATATAATTCATCCTCCCTTGGTTCCTCAGATTTCTATTCAGAACAATTAAGCTAAAATCATTTTTCTTTTCTCACTTCATGCCAACTCCCACCCAAATCTCTGGAGTTCTGCGCAGATACAAAATGGCTACATCTACATTGCAGGCTTCTTGTGCAAGAACTGTTTTGTGCAAGAGTTCTTGCACAAGAGCGCGTCCACACAGCCATGTACTTTTGCGCAAGAGATGTGCTTTTGTGCAAGAGATGTGCTTTTGTGCAAGAGCGTCCATGACAATGTGGATGCTCTCTTGTGCAAGAAAGCTCTGATGGCCATTTTAGCCATAGGAGTTTCTTGTGCAAAAAACCCCGTTGCCCATTCACACTGCCTTCTTGCGCAAGAGCTCTTGCAGAAGAGGGCCTATTCCTCGTGGGGAGAGGTCTAACTCTTGCGCAAGAAGCCCTCTGTTCTGACGCTTTACTGTAAATGTACTTGCACAAGAACGCACATGCAGTGTAGATGCTCTGCAAGTTTGTGCGCAAGAACCATCTTGTGCAACAAAGATGCTCTGCAAGTTTGTGCGCAAGAACCGCCATCTTGTGCAACATGCCTGCAATGTAGACGTAGCCCCTGAGTATCCTCATCCCATCTGCAAATATGATAGATATCTGTCGATTTACAAGGCCCTACAAATCTCATCAGTGGCATCCTACCTTTCACTGCATCAAATTCAGGCTCTTTGCCCTCCTCTTCAAAACTGTGCCTGGACCTTGCCAACATCTCAGCTCCAGTTCTCCTCCCCCTCGCTACCTCTAGTCTCATTTTTCACACCCTTCTTCTTTTTCTGTCTTGGTTAATCCCTTTGGGGCTGCGTAACAACTATTATTAGTAATATAATCTGTGGGTGCTTCTTATTGAGAAGACCAGTCATTATTTCCTAGGCTGAGAAAACCCAAGGAGCCCATATGCTTAACCCCCTCCCCATTGGTTACAGCGGGGAGTAACCGTGGCCAGCAGCTCTCTGAGGGCCTATCCCATTGTTCTTTCTTGGTTGCCCACTTGCCACGGGCTCAAATCCCTGCGCCCCGCCCAGCGACGGGCGCGCGGCAGCGGCTAATCAGAGCCCGGCGGTGCCCAAATTTCCTGCCAGGGCGGAGGAGGAGGGGGACACAAAGTACCAACCGCCAGCAGGGGGCGGGGCGGGAGCCACGAGGGACGAGGCATCCGCAGGCGCAGCGGCGGCTTCTTCCCCGCGCGCGTCAGGCAGCCGTTAGACCGCTAGGGCCAAGCCGGCCAGGAGCGCGCGCAGGCTCCTCCTTCACACACACCCCTCCCCTCGCCTCTAACGAACTGTGACCCAGGACGCACCGACAGGGGGCCAATCCCCGAGCACCTTCCGCCCTGCTCACCAATCCTAGGGCAGGCTCCCGCCCCACTTTGCTCCGACCCAATCCCCTCTCTGCTCAGCCTCCCCGCGGGCCAATCACGGAGCGGAGCCTCTGCCCGCCCTTTCCCCCCGCCCGCCCCTCCGTGGCAGTGGCAGCCTAGGGGCCGTGGCTGCAGCGGCCGCCGCTGCGGAGCAACCTGGCCCCTGGCGGTGTCGGTCGCGGCCCCCCCGGAGCAGCCCCGCCCGCCCCGAGCCATGCTGCTGCTGCTGGCGGCCGCCTGCGTCGTGGCCTTGGTGCTGCTGCTCTACATGGTGTCGCCGCTCATCAGCCCCAAGCCCCTCAAGCTGCCCGGCGCCCACGTCGTGGTGAGTGGGGGGAGGGGCGCCCGCCTGCCTCCGTCCTGCCCCTTCGCCCTGCGGGGCGGGCGGCCCCGGGGCCAGGCTGGGGTGGTGGCGAAATTGCCTCCTTGCCGTGGTTTATGGTGGGCGCGGGGAGGGGCACCTGGGAGGACATTGTTCTGTGTGTGTGTGTGTGTGTATGCGCGCGCACCCGTATGGTTTGTACCGGGGGTGTAGTGGGATGGTGTATAGGGTATATATATATATGTGTGTGTGTGTGTATATATATATATATGCACAAGGGAAGGGGGTGTATGGTGTGTATGATAAATTTGTATATGCATCTATAGTCATATGCTTAGTGTGAGAAATAAATAGGTGTGTGTATACCATGTACCTATATACTTGAACAAAGTGTGTGGGTTGGGAGTATAACACACATGAACATAGTATGAAATTATATGTATGTTTGTGTGTGTGACAGTTTGCTGTAAGAGCAAGATTCCTTGACCCTTAGTTGCCTGCCCTCCCTCCTCCCTTGATAGGGAGACCTAGCAAAAGAAGTTTGTTTCAGCCTCTGCCTTTGGCTTAAAAGGGATTGGAGGATCAGTTTAAAAATCACTCCCATGGTACAATTAGATGGTGGCGATGATGATAACCATATAACTGATTGTCCTGTTCAGTCAGCATTAAGTGATAGCATAGTTTAATTGGGGATGGAGGTAATCACATCTCTTACTCCAAGGGATTTATATTTGTTACCCTCATTGTAGTAGCTGAGTACTTAGGTATCTCTTAACTGTGGAGCTGCTATCTGTGCCCTAGATGATATTTGGGATGTTAGATTTAATCAACTAATGGACTAGTTGATGGATTTTCCATCCACTAGTTGATTAGTTGATAAGCAGGGGAGCTGCAGCGGGGTTAGCTTCCGGCCCAGGAGCTAATGCCGCTGCAGCTCTGCCCTGTAAATATATTACAGCTAAAGCGCAGCAGGGGGGACCCAGCGTGAGCTAGGGCAGCTGATTCCCAGCTCACACTGGGTCCCCCCTGCTGCACTTCTGATTTTTAAATGTATTAAGAACCGTCAGGCTCTTAATACATTTAAAAATCAGAGGCACAGTGTCTGGTACTGGACGCAAGCTGGGAATCAGCTGGTTCCTGGCTCGCGCCTGGTCCCCACTATCCTCCTGCCTTTCCTGCTCACCATGGGTGCTGGCGGGGGAGAACCAGCTTTTAAGCAGGTTCCCCCCAGCATCAGCACCTGCTCCCCACCCTTGCTGCCTCTGATAGAGGCAGTAAGGGGAGGAGGGGTAAGTGACTAGTCGCTTACATCCCTAGATGATAGACATCCCCAATGCACACAATACTATCTTAAATATGTCTAAGCCATGAGAGAGAGATTCTTTCTTTGTCAGCTGATGGTCACCTAGACATGACAGAAGGCATGCATCTGACTCACTAGAAATGTATACAACCTTCAGGATCTTATATTGCTAAATTGAATTTTAGTCTTTAATGACATTTATAACCCTGGATTTACTGGATATTTCATATTTATTGTTTCCAGTAGCATCTGCATAGAGGTACAGTTTGCACAAACACAAAAACACATATAGTCTTAAGATTTATTCTCGTCAAGTTAAATCAGAGTGTGGAGGAAAATGGATACAACATACAAATAAAGTGGTCAGGTAGCATGTCCTTCTTTTAAAAAAAATTAAAAATACCTCTCATCTCCATAAGCAGCTTGTTAGTATCATGGTAGGGTAGTGAGTTTTTAGAAGGTGTGAGGGAGTATGGTGGAAGCCTGTGCTCAGATAAATAGGGAATGTTGGGGAAAAGTTGGACCTTGATGGCAGGGATAGGAAGCTATAGGTTGCTTTAAATGCATAAAATAAACTATGTTCTTTTATAGGGAAGTTACAGTTTAATTACATTTGCCAGAGCATCCATGATTCTATAGATTTCTACGGGCATTTCGCTCAGCATCTCTTGAGGTCAAACCTTTAAATACAAGTGGACTAAAGCCACTGGGGGGTAGTTTGCATTGTATCTCTAATGGGCACAGTAGAGAACTCCTAGGCCTGGGAGCTACCTTTTCACCCTCACAATCTGGAGTATTCTGCAAACTTCCCTAGCCACCAGCCCTGGAGACCTGCCTAAGTTACAGCAGCAAACCCAATACTGAGGGATATAGTGCTACTTAAAATCTTTGCCCAGACTTCTCCAGTCCCTGCGAAATCCCCTCCTTGCCTCCTGTGGGCTAGGGCATACAATAAAGTCATCCAAAGGCAAACTAAACAGCTGTTTTCACATTGCTAGTAGCATAGAAGCCCCTCCCTAAGTACAGTCAGAGGTTTTTAAGGTTTCATTGTGCTTTTCTGATCCTCTCTCACAACATAAAGGGGCTATAACAAGGGTGAGATTCTTGCCCTATCACTGTACTTATGTTGATTGAGCTCGGTATAATATTGAACAGATAACTAGGATGTCCCTGAATTTTATAAAGCCACATAATAATTTTGTATTGCCATTTCTCATACATACAGTACCTACATCCTTAGGTTTATCTATTGTTGTTAAAGTATTTACCTTTTCTAAAAGCTACTCTTATGTTTCAGAATTCTTAAATGGGAAAAATCTAAGCCTTTTTAAAAAGAAAAAGCCCCACAAACTTTAAGTGACTCCATTTTAAAGTGTTCTTTTAATGAGTTTAGTCATACTTTTTCCAAAAACATAACACATTACTAAGTGGGATGACTAACAGAACTTTACAGCAAAACTTTCTAAGGCTAAGGATGTTAGGTATCATGTAATTGACTAATCGAATTGTCGGTGCATTTTTGCATCGACTATTCAATTAGTTGATAGAGGCAGCAAGAGGGAGGGAGCAGAGAGAGGTACTTCAAAGCGGCAGCACCACATGGAGCCCGGGGTCAGCTGCTCCATGCAGTACTGCCCCTTTGAAACACTGCAGCGGTGTTTCAGTGTGGCAGCACCACACTTAGCCCAGGTTAGCTGGGGAGTCCCCAGCTGATCCTGAGCTCCAAGCAGTGCTGCTACTTTGAAATGCCATGAGGAGCCTGCCGCTGGGCTCCCCATAGCATTCAAAGCGGCAGCAGCACACGGAGCAGCTGACCCTGGGCTCCGTGTGGCGCTGCCGCTTTGAAGTACCTCTCACTTCTCCCTCCCTCTTTCTGCCTCTATCTGATAAAGGCAGTGGAGAGGGAGGGGAAGTGGCTAGTCACCCATCCTTTTGACTATCTGATTAAGCATTTGCTTATCGGATAGTAGACTAGTCAAGTAGTCCTTAACATCCCTATTTTAAGGCATCTCCGTTTATAGGCATTTCAGTCTTGATAATGGCCATTTCAAATCTAAAATTAGGAAATGTAATGTGTACCATGTGGTACATTAGGTTAAAAAACCCTTTGGTGACTGTGTCATAAGGAGAAGGTTCTGGGATCCTGTTTATATTACCATTCCGCACACAGAAACATAGAACTTTTATACTGTTGTTATTAAAGGAATTGCATGACAAAAATAATTCATAAGATGTAACTGCATAATTAAAAATTAATTATTGAAGAACATTTGCTCCAGCATGATTTTGTGGATTCTAAAATTGTTCATGTAAATATTTTTTAACTGGTGTTTCATCATAAAGTATTATTTTTTTAACAGATACATTTGTAGACCTACCTGTGTTCAGGAAAATTTTTACTGTAATGGCTTAATTTAGAAATTAATTTTGGCTGGCTTGAACTGAACATAGTTTTCAAATTTATGAAGTTGTTTGGGAATCCTGGTCATGCTGTGGTGTTTAAATGCAATTTAATGTTAATCCATGTAAACTGCATTAATCGATCCGTACAGGAGTTTCCTGTTTTCATATTTCGCACAGAAATAAGGAATACTGTTGCAAATTAGACACCTTCACATGTCTTTTTCATAAATTACCAGAACAGAGCCCAGGAATTCTGACATTTAATTCCCTCCTGCTTCTGGGAATGAAACACAAGTTAGGGATAGCCTTTTTATAAAATCATGCAATTGTAGGTACTGGTAGAGGCAGGCGAGGAGGCCGTATGGTTTAACGGGTAGAGTGCCAGGTTGGATATCAGGAGACCTAACTGTTCAGCATCTTTTTGCTGCCTCAGCTCTGTGTTAAGTTTGGGAAAATGTGTTGCTACTGTTTGCTATAAGAACATGCATTTACAACTGATTGCAAGAAATGAAGAAATGTTTTATATATATGTTAAATTAGTTAGTAATGTCCTAAAGTGTTGTAAAATAGAGATGTAGTTTAAAATAGGGATGTAATTGCCTCATATGCATTATGGAGAAAGTAACTTTCTCTTGGAAGAGTTTTGAAATCCTTCTATGAAAAGAATGATGTAAGAGCCAGTTTTAATATTTCTTAATTTTAAGTCTTTTTGGAGAGGAGTGTGGTAGGAAAATGGCTTCTGCTTTAGTCGACAAAACAATCACAAAGTTATTTCCGTAATCCCTTTAAAACAAATTAAAAGAATCATGAAAAGGAAATTATACTAGCTATTTTGAAATATTAGACTTTTGTTAATTATATTGCTCAGCTACTGCATTTAAAAGTTAAATAATATTAAAGTATAAGAGCAGCTGAATTTTACTCAATTATTTAACTTATTGGATTTCTTGTTTTTAAAGTAGGAGAAAAATTTAGTTTTAAAATACCAATTTTTTTTAAAATTAGTAAAATACCCAAGTGATTTTTGACATCCATTTTCAATATGTCTAACCATAAGAGCCACCATACATATCTTACAATTTGAATGAAATAGAAAACAAATAGAAAAAACAAGCACAAAAGAGGAATGAATATTCAGTAGCTATATTCAATTTTATAATTTAGTTGAACTGACTGTTTAACAAAGAAGGTACTTTAAATCATGGGCTATAAATGTGAACTTTGGCTGTTTTTCAAGATTGTCTTCACTGGCAAAGTTGTGCTATGTTATTTTTACACAACTGATTTCTATTGCTACTACATATGTGCAACATTGGATTTAGTCTTTGACGCTGTAGTTAATACTACAGATTGAACCTCTCTAATCTGTTCCCTCGGGGCCTGACAGGTCCCAAACCATGAGAGGTCAATATTTTCTAGCAAAGTGTTTCTTAAACTGTATTCCGAGGTACGCTGGTGTGCTGCAGAGAACAACAGTTAAAAATGGCCACCCTTAAAGGGGCAGGCAAACCTTTTTCTGCTCAATAACTTTCCCCCCAACTTTTTTTTTTGGTGCAACCAAAAATACTCAGTGTTACTCATAAAAGATTTAAGAAACACTGCTCTAGCAGCGTTAACAACACTTTCACTGCTTACTGGGATCTAAGATGACAATTAAGGATAAATTAGAGCTATATTGCAGTACAGAACACTGAGAGCCAGGACTCATGGTTGTAAACAAACTTTCTGGGATTGTGGAAGACTCATCCACACCAATGATAAGTGAACATCCATATAACTAAAATCATGTTGGACCACAGATGTTGCCAAAGCAGAGAGTGCCAGACTAGAGAGGTTCACCCTGTATAGATTAAAGCAGTGGTCATCAATCAGTAGATCAGGATCTACTGATAGATCTTGGAGGTTTGGCTGGGAAGCTAAGTGCCAGCACTTCATCTGCCCCTCTCAACATTGCCGTGCTGCTCCTGCCCTCTGCCTTAGAGCTGTCCCACACCCCCGGAATCCTCCTGCTTGCTGTGCAGGGCACAGGAAGAAGAGGAAGGGGGGTGCAGATATCGGGGTACCCCACCCTATACCCCATCTCCACAGAGAAGATGGGGGCAGGGATGAAGAGAGTTTACTGGATGCTTTTGGGAGTGGTGCAGGAACCTGCCTTAATCCCCTGCATAACCACCCACCTGTGGTAAGTGGTGCCCAGCTGGAGCCTGAATTATGAACCCCAGCCCCAATCCTGAACCCTCAACACCTGCCCAAGCCCTGAGTCTCCCTGCACCTCCCAGAGCCTACACTCCTGAACCCCCTCCTGCACCTCAACTCTGTGCCCCAGGTACAGAATCCCTCCCACACTCCAAATCCTTTAGTCCAGGATCAGTGTCTACATCCCCTGCCCTGCACTCAAGCCCTCTGCCCCCGTCTTGATAAAAGTGGGTGAGGATAGGAGAGAGAGGATGGAGTGAGCATGGGCAGGGCTTTGGAGAAGGGGTGGGAAGGAGTTAGGGCAAGGTTGTTTGGGTTTGAAGTAGATCCTGGATTACACTTAAATTAAAGTGATCTCATGCTTAAAAGGGTTGGAGACCACTGGATTAAAGGTTTGGGGAATTCAGCATTCGCTTTGATTGGAACTTTGCTATGAAGTGTCTTGCTTTACTACAGAAATCTTTGTATGAGTTGTTTACAGAGCTCAGTATGTTACAATTGAGTTGGATAAATAAAATTTGCATGAAGTAGATAAGAACTTTAGGTCATATGGAAGTGACGTCTAGGGTTCGGACTAAAGATACATTCAGATTCCAGATCATGCGGCTCTTCACTCCTGAAAGTACGGTTCACAAAGCCTCCCGGTGGCTTGTGAAGCCACTCCTGCACCCGTACAGATGGCCCCCGGGTGCAGGGGAGGCATCCGGCACAGTGATTCAAAATGGTGTCGGCATGATCATGGAGCCTGATGTGGCCAAAAGTCTAACATTTTTAAAGGGTTAGGGTTTTTTTTTGTTTGTTTGTTTGTTTTTAACTCAACAACTCTGGCTGGTGCGGCTCTTCGCATTTTTTCCACCGCTGTTTCGGCTCGCTTCGTTTAATGGGTTGGCCACCCCCGTTCTAGATGAAAGGCTTCAGTAGGACAAACATTACACATTAATATCAAATTGTATATACGCTTACTGGGGGGGTGACATTCACTTTTCTACAATATATCTTTGCTAGGTTGTCATCATTGAGGTATATCAGAGAATGCTTAAGAATTCTGAGAATCCGGTTGTGATTGCAGGGCTAGGGAGATGAGTACGATGGATTATTGGTAAAGCTACAAGTAGTAATTAAATTATGGGGTTTTTTTTAAATTTAATTTAATTTTTTGTTTTTTTTAGGTAACTGGGGGTTCCAGTGGAATTGGAAAATGTGTTGCTATTGAATGCTATAAACAGGGTGCATTTATAACTCTGATTGCAAGAAATGAGGTAACTTTTTAATATGCATGTTTACAAACTAAATTATGTCTTAACATGTTTAAAATAGAGGTACAGTTTAAAATAGGGATGTGTTTAAAATAATGTAGGGTTGGCTGTAATTGTTCGTATTGTGTTTCTGAGGAATATTTTAATTGAAGTAATCTCCTACGTTTGTCACTGTCCGAACACAGTGAATGAAACACTGGCTTATTACTAAAACACATTCTGAACTTCTCTTCTCTTAGAAATGTAGTGACTTGAAAAGTTTATATTTACATAGGCTATTCTGTTTCCTGTAACTGTTACTTTCAAGAACACGTAACTTTTTTCCTCCTTAGCAGTTTTTCTTTCATTTGGAAAAGATTAGTTTCTACTGTCTTTATTTCTTAGGGAACACAAAATTTATGTTATCATAGGTTGTTCAGTTTAGTAGGGCCCTATGATATTTATGGCAATGAAAATGTGTCACAGTGAAATTTAGCCTGTTATGTAATTTTACCTTATATTTTAAAAGAACCCTATGCTATAGGGTAAAAGTACACCGTGTACTTTTGTATATCTCAAACTGGGCTCCCAATCCAAAAGGAGGTCACAAGGCTATTGTAGAGTTCATAGTATTGCCGCCCTTACTGCTGCTGTCTTCAGAGCTGGGCACTTGGCCAGCTGCTGCTGCTCTCCAGCCACCCACCTCTGAAAGCAGTGCCAAAGTAAGAGTGCTAATAGTCTTATGACCCCTCCTTTGGGTTAGGACCTGGAGTTCTAGAAATGCTGAATCTTAAGGGCTTTACATGTTTATATTTTTGCTGTTTTCAAATGCATGTTCATGTTTTGTTACAATGCTGAAATTTAAGATTTAAATATCTGAAACCATGAAATTAAAGATTTTTTTAAATACAGTGGATGTGAAATTTGTGACTCTAGGCAACTAATTTAGTAGTGATCATTAGTGATTGTATGCACACAGCCTTGGGAATAGCAATTATCTTATTTACTCTAATATTATACTGAAATTCAGTGGTGACACGATTACATAATTAAATGCATTTTAACATATTTAGTAGCAAACTTTTAGGTACTTGAAAACTGTTGTCTTGTCCCTTCTCAATCTTCTCTTTTGCAGACACACAAGCCCAACTTTTTTCTCTAGACCTTTAATCATTTTTGTTGCTTTTCTCTGGACCGTCTTCAATTTCTCCATATCTTTCTTCTAATGTGGTGCCCAGAAATGGACACACTTTCTCTAGTTGAGGCCTAATCAGTATGGAATATAGTGGAAGAATTGCTTCTTGTGTCCTGCTTACAACAATCCTGCTAATACATCCCAGAATGATGTTGTGTTGTTTTATGTTATATTGGCAACAGTGTTAGTACTGTTGACACATAATTAGCTTATGGTCCACTATGACCCCTTAGATTTCTCTCTTCATTACTCATTCCTAAGTATTAATTTCCTATTTTGTATGTGTGCAACTGATTATTCCTTCCTAAGTAGAGTACTTTGTATTTGTCCTTATTGAATTTAATCATGTTTACATCAGACCATTTCTCTTGTATGTCGAGAACATTTTGCATTTTCATCCTAGCCTCCAAAGCATTTGCAGTTCCTCCCAGCTTGGTGTCATTCACAAAGTGTACTCTCCATACCATTACTTAAATGATTTATGAAGATATTGAACAGGACCCAGAACTGAACCGTAGGAACTCAACTCATTATGCTCTTCCAGTATAATTGTGAAGTATTGATAATGGTTATCCTACCAATTACATACCCATCTAATAGTACCTCCATTTAGGTTGTATTTCCCTATTTTATTAATGAGGTCGTGCAAGACTGTATTAAACACCACTGAAGTCTATATTTACTACATCTGCCATTGCCTCCTCATCCACAAGGCTAGTTACCCTGTCAAAGAATGCTGTCAGATTGACTTTACATGATTTGTTCTTAACAGATCCATGCAGACTGTTACTTGTCATCTTATTATCTTCTAGATGTTTGCAAATTGATTTTCTTTCCGGATACAGAAGTTAAGTTGAGGGGTTTGTAATTCTCTGGATTGTTCTTTTTATAGACAGGCATTAAATTTGCCCTTTTCCATTCTTCTGGGAAGTTTCTCATCTTCCATGATTTTTCAAAGAAAATCACTAATGGCTCAGATAGCTCCTCAGTTAGCTCCTTGAGTATTCATGGATGCATTTCATTAGGCTCTTGTGACTTAAAGACATGTAACTTGTCCAAGTAGTTTTTAAATTTTTTCCTGTTTTAACGTCTGTCACATTTTCACTGGCATTCATAATGATAGCTGTCCAACCACTACCAATATTGTCTTGCTGAAAACCAAAACAACAAATCATTAAGTACTTCTGCTATTTCCACATTTTCTGTTACTGTTTTTCCCTCTTTATTTAGTAATGGGCCTACCCTGTCTTGGTCTTCCTCTTGCTTCTAATGTATTTGTAAATGTTTTCTTGTTACCTTTTATGTCTCTAGCTAGTTTGAGCTCATTTTGCGCCTTGGCCTTTTAATATTTGTTCCTTCGTAATTGTGTTATTTATTTATATTCATCCTTTGCAAGTTGGTTTAGTTTCCACTTTTAGTAAGACTCTCTTTGATTACAGTCTCCCAGCCTGAGTGGTCTCTTGCCATATATCACATCTTTCCTACATAGTGGAATGGTTTGCTTTTTGCCCTTCATAATGTCTCTCTGAAAAACTGACAATTGTCTTCAATTGTTTTTCCTCTTATTGTTCTCTCTCCTACCATTCTTTAGAATCATGAATTCTATCCTTTTTATGATCACTTTCACCCAAGCTGCCTTTCAAATTCTCACCCAGTTCATCCCTGTCAAATTCACAGCTAGAAAAACCTCTCTCCTAGTAGCTTCCTTCATCTTCTGAAATAAAAAACTGTTCTAGTACTGTACATTCCAAGAATTTGTTGGTTAATTTGTGCCCTGCTGTGTTATTTTTCCCAACAGATGATTGGATAATTGAAGTCCCCCCCCCCCATAAATAAAGAATAGGTGTGAATCCTACAATTATAGTGTATCATATACTGCAGAATTGTCGGTCCTGTGCTACTGCCTTTCAAATTTATTGTCAACCAAGAGGTGGATTTCACAAATAACTACTTAGAATTCAGAAAACACTTTTTTGGGGCCACTAATAATTTTAAGATATAAACAAAAAAACAAAACAAACAAACAAACAAAAAAACCCTGAACCTGATTTAATGATATCTTTTCTCTTGATTTGGTTTATCTATTGCTATTGACGCTCATCTAATTTTTAACGCTTTTTTATTAAAAATTTTAACCAACTGTAAAAATTCTTCAGTTTTTCCATTGGGGAAAAAAATAGATATTTTCTGAACTGACAACTTTCAGATTTCAGATATTTCTCAATAAATTTGACAGGGGAAGGAGAAAAGAAATTGAGAAACTTGTAGCAAGCTTTGAAATTAAACATCAAAACAATTAGCATTTTTATAGGTTAGATCTAATTGTTTTAATTTACATATTTAAACACGTCTTTTGCATAATTTTGACCACTCTAATACATTTAAAATTACCCTCAAGTGAAAAAGTGAAATTTCAAACTCTTCTTATCAGTTTCCAATTTTGGAATAAATAATTGGTGGGTTTGGTATGTTGTTGTTCCACATGTTCTTTGGTAGGTTTTGAACAGTCATATAAATAAACAATAACCTATGAAGCAGTTAGGGATGTAAAAAGTTACCAGTTGCCTGGTAAGCATTAGGCTTACCGGAATGCTTACCGTCAGCTGTATGACCAACCACACCAGCAAGGAGTAGCCCTGTGTTGGGGCAGCAAACAGGGCCATGTCTGTGGTGGGCTGGGGGGACCTTGGCTGTGTGGAAGCGGCAGACAGGGCTATGCCTGAGTTGAGTCGGTGGGACCCCAACCCTGGCCAGGTAGGAGCAGCCCAAGCAGGGGACCCCAACCCTGGCCACGCTCGGCCAACAGAAAGGGCTCAAAAGGGCCCCCAGCCACACCGGTGCAGACTGGCTGGAAAGGACTCTGGCTCTGGCTTCCATCCACCAGCCCTCCAAAAGTTAGTTAAATGATGTAATTTTAATTAATCCAGTTAACTATTTTAATGATTATTTACATCCCTAGAAGCAATAACATATACATTCCTAATCCTTTCATGTAATTAAAAATAACTAAGTGTACAATCTCAGCCTTAACATTATCATCATTGTAGAGGTTTTTTTTCTGATGTTAACCTCATAGCTAGGAGAAAGGAAAGTGTTTAAAAAAACCAAAAAACTTCAGTTTTGAAAGTTTAATGAAAATAGCAATTTTGAGATCATTTACATTTATCAATTGCAGAATTGTTTTTACCAAACTAAAATAACAGTCGTTAGCCTTCTGAAATGTTTTTAACTTCAGAGAAATATTGGAAAGTAGTAAATTCTCATGATTGCAGTGCCTTAACTGTGCTTTATATATAAACTTTAGAGCAAGCTGCTGCAGACAAAGAAGGAAATTGAAAAATACTCTGTTAATGATAAACAGGTAAGATGTTGCCTCCACTGTGTACTGAATACTAAGCGATTGTGCTGCATAACTGTAGAAAAGAAAAAAAGGACCCCTGAATCCTACTGTATGAGTTCGGTAGTCTTGCTTTTAAAATAATTATGTCCTGAAATAAAGTTTACAAATTAATATTTGGTGCATTTTACTTGCCTTAATGCAATACAAAATTCTGATTTCTCTGCTGCTGTTGATATTGCTAACATGAAATAATACTCAGACCTGCTTTCAAACTGTTATGTTAGTGAGGTCATCGGCTGCAATGTTGCGTGTGTGTGTGTGTGTGTGTGTGTGGATATGTATAATACAACTATAGTTGATGTCTTATATAAAACCCTGACTCGATACAGCTAATTTTAAAGGAGGAACTATTTTTTTAATCCTTTTCAAATTCTTCAATAATTAAGTCAAAATAAGAGCTATCATTGATTTGGGAACTCAAATAGTTTTCTGAACCCCGGAACTGAGAACAGGGAGACTGTCAGGCTAAGAGAGCTGCCTGATGGATTGCAGTGAGGAAGAGATGCAGTCCTGTGGCCTGGGCAAGAAGCTTGAGACCAGGAACGAAGAGGAGAGGGAGAAGGACTGGAATTGGAGGCTGGTTGATGGAGGGAAACTTGGAGGAGAGGAAGGGAGTGATTTGTTTGTAGCTGGGCAATGAAACTGAGACTGATAACAAGTGGGATAGTGATAAAGAGGAGAAGGGGAGACAAATCAAATAGAACTAGGATGCAGGAGGAGAGCTGGGACTAGTTTGGAACAAAGGAGACTAGGGAGAAACACCCAGCAGGGATTGGAGGTTAGAACTAGAAATGGTTTGGCAAATAGATTAGGACATGAAGGAAAAAATAGTACATAATCATATAATTAAAGATTATATCATAATCAGTGCTGGTCCTAGATCAGTGCCATGTGCCAGGAGCATCTTCAAAACACATACACGCACGTTAAACTTTTAATTTTTTTTTTTTTTTGCATTTGTAGTAGGGATATAAAAGGCTACCCAGTGAGCATTAGCCTATTTGCATAATTACAGGGTAACCGGAAGTGCAGACCAGGGAGCAGCTTGCCTGCCCAAGGCACGGTGGGGCTGAAGCAGTACACTTCTGCTCAGGGTGCAATAGGGCCGGCAGGACCCCTCCCTGGAGCAGCCTCACTGAAGATTAATCGGTTAAACAATTAAAATTAAATTTAATCAGTTAACATTTTTCATGGGTACTTACATTCTTAATTTGTAGCCCATGTCTTGACTTTGATGCATGTTTTATTCCTAGCATATATTACAAATTAGCACCTTTAGGATCTGTAAATCTATATTTATTCATCTAATATACAGTACACTTCCAATAATGCGGCACCTTTAAGACCCAGTGGGTGCCAGATTATCAAATATGCTGGACCATCATCAGGGGGGGCTATGAGGGATCTGGGGTGGAGTGGGGGGGATGCACCCCTCGGCGCTGTGGGACCAACCCGGCAGCACCCCACCTGCTCTACCCCAGACTTCCCCAAGTCAGCCGCTACTGAAACTGACCAGCGGCTGAATCAGGGAAGCCTGGGTCAGAGCAGCTCCAATTGTCCGGCTGCCCGCAGCACTTCCGGGTTCCAGATGGTGCCGGACCATCAGGAGTGCCGGACCACTGGATGCTGGTCCACTGGAGTTTTACTGTACAAGCCCATAGAAAAAATTGCTTTTAGAAACTTTTTAATTTTTAAGAATAACTGAATTGTACTAATATCAAGAAACTGTACCGTTCACCAACACAGGGTGGAGTAATATTAAATAATGCTACAGTAGGTAACATTAGAATGTTAACCGAAGTCCTTTAGTTCTGTAGTGCTGCCTTTCAATTTTGGGAGCAACTGTGATTTATTTTTGGTTGAAGACCCTCAACAACCAGAGCCTACAAGGTGAAATATGGGGACCATGAAATACTAATTTTTTGGGGAGTTATTGGTTGACTAACTTTTCAGAGTAGTTTCTTTTAATGCTCTTTACTAGCTATATTTTTTTTTCCTGGCCCAAGATTCTTCTTCACTGTTTTCTGTCTCCCAGACTAGTTGTAGACTTCATGGACCCCAAAGAAAAGTGTTATCAGGGAGTATACAAATATAAAATTGTGTAATCCGATGCTGTTTCACATCCCTTTACTTGGGGGTTACCTTTCTGTGGAGAACTGGGAAACTTTTTTTTATTTTTTTATTTTTAATGAAAAATAGGTTTCTTCTCTGGTG